TCTTTGTGTAATGTTATGATTTTATGATATATCTCATATTAGAATTGTTCCATTTTCTTCAGCATTTCATAGTAAACAGATGTCCCAGATCCAATTTCTTATAGGAACTGACATAAATGGAGACCAATTTTGACCTGGCTGATTTGACCCAGATTGCGTGGATATGTTTTTGCTCAAGCTATCAGTCACTGGTTTGTGTGATCTTGACATTGTAAACAGACTGTTATAATATAGAAGGATTACAGCTAACTGCAGCAATACTCCTTTCACAAAATATTATTGTAGTAGTGATGATAAAAAAGTTATATTTCCATATGTACAGTAAATGGGTGAGTATAGTTTTATGCCACTATTAACAATATTCTAGCAATATCATAGGGGGTCAACGGAAAATGGGCTTCACACATTCAAGCCATTTGAGGAATTGAACACGAGCCTGTATTATGACAAGCAAACGCTTAAACCTCGAGGCTACTCCAACACCTCCTTGTGGAGAAATAGGTGAAGTGATCTCAGGTTATTGAGCGTATGATCACACGATGTTCGTCATGTGGTAGAACTAATTGCCTGACAACATCTGGCTACTCTGGCTCTCACACCTACTGCCAGTCTTCAATACACCTTGACACAGCAGATTGATTGACAGCTGATCAGTCTGGTGTTATTCTTGAAGCATCAGATCTAGTGCCGTGACTGACACATACTCAAGGCAGAGGAAAGTGGGCTTGTGATGGCTGTTTCAGCTTCTTCTTCAGGGAGAAGATAATAGAGATACATGGAGAAAGTGCAATTAACACTTCTCCCTGAAGATAAAGCTGAAATATGTAGAAGAATTTGTGTCGTGTGATTATTTTGTGAATTTCTTTATATATGTATGTTATTTATTTATTTTTAGGGCAACATGGGGTTAGCATAGGCCCACAACACTCTTGTACTTGTTGTTATTGAATTGGGGTGTCAGACTTCATGAGTTGGTAGACTGCACGTCATCGTACACTAGGATATAAACAATGGTTGTCAGATCCACACTCAGCTATTTACAGGTTGCTATGATAAAGCTGGAATATTGCTGCCTGCAGTGTAAAGCCATGACCAAACTTCGGGAATGATGACTTATATTTCTCGGCATTCGCCCAAATAATAGTACATATAAAAAATGAATAATGAGGGCAACTTTTGAAATACAAAATTTTACCATAAATGAATGGTATCTTGCCTGTGGTTTTTTTATCATCATCACCATCATCAAATGGGGTAGCCTAGTGGTTAAAGCGTTCGCTTGTCACGCCGAAGACCCAGGTTCGATTCCCGACATGTGTGAAGCCCATTTCTGGTGTCCCCCACTGTGATATTGCTGGAATATTGCTAAAAGCGGCGTAAACTTCTCTCACTCACTCATCATCATCACCTTCATGTTAACCTCTTGTAGATTATGATGACATACTAACCTCTCTAATTTATCAAGTATATATGTCTACTCTGTGTCACATGCAACATTACTCAGACTTGGCTACAGAAAGCATTATTGTAATCTTACACAAACCATATTTCTATGATTTAATGCCTGCCTTAAATAATAATAATAAGATTTTATTTTCTTTAAATTGCTGCAAACCAGTGGAGGTAGAATATAACTGAGGATTCTGATTATGTTGTTGTCACTCTGAGAATGTAACTGAAAAAGAAAACCCTTCTTGAATGAATGCTTAAATAAAAATTTACAATTTCAGTATCACATTTTAATTCCATATATTACTGTGATACAAGGGATAAGATTCCAAATAATTTATAACTAGTCAATACTAGCTGGTACAGTATTCCAGTTACGTGTCAGCTTACGTGGGAGAAAAGCCTGAAGTGATGCAGGTCTCAGACATTTACCAGTTCGGTGAAACCCACGAGCTGAGTATGGTACTGAAAAATGTAAAAACATAATCAGGGGCAAACTGGTATTTGAACCAACCATCGTAGGTTTCTTGCATGCCTAATGGACGCACATCTACACAGTGAACTGTAGTGCCTTAGACGACAGGGCCGCCCACGCCCCTCATTCAAAATAGAGAGGAGTTAAGAATGTTGATAAGATTACAAATAATTAATGTTCAGTGATTTTTTTTAGTTCAACACAGCTAATGTTATTTTATTTTACCTTTGCAAAATTGATGAATTTGGCTTAATTGAGAAAACATTTTGTGGAGTTTATCATTTCTTTGTTTTTGCATGCACATCAGGGTTGTACAATGTTCAGTTCATCATTAAATCATTGTGTTGAGGAGATTACATGGAGTACACGAGCCTGATTGTTCTACTGGGGAGTTATGGGTGCATGGATTATTCATACAATCAGCAGACGGGGATAGTTTCCTGACAACTAATGACGGGCATGATTTGCACCCCTCTGTCAGCGTGATGGTTATGGAGATGATTTGTTTAGTATTCAGTCCCTGACAACCGTCTGAGCTGACAGTGTTTGTATCTGAACGTAGGGGTGCACTTGAATACAGATGTGGCCTGTGAACTGAAACGCGGACAAATGCAGTGCTCCGTTGGAATAATATCATTATGCAGTGATAGAAACTAACTGTTATAGTCCACTAGTCCTTATAATGATATCATATAGCAAAACCCTTAATAATGGCAAATTTCTACTTGTCCTTATGATACCTTAACTATTCGGCAGTTTGGCAAGGACTTTAGGGCAAGGACTTTAGGACTAGTGCCAATTTCTAACGCTGTTATGATTTTGTATTCACGTTTTCGCTATTGGGAAGATGAGACAATTTGTGAATTTTTTTGTTTCTTATGGCCTCTTTCCTTTCAAGGTTTGCTCACATATTATGATCAAGTACAAATGGATTGGTAAAATGAGTGAAAAAAGCAAGATTTACCAAATTTCACGAAAAATATGAATACGATGAGCAAGACTTTCAAGTTGACCAAAGGTGAATTGGTGTTAGGTGTTTACTTCAATTCTTCAGGAAATGAACTCATTCTCAAACATTAGAAAAGAATGCTTCCTGAAAGTCTCAGAGATCAGCCTTTTGGCAGAGTTGTTTTGTTCCTCTGTGCTTGGGGATGTTGTGAATCCCAAACAATGCCGTTTTGAAAAGAACACATTGTAATCTCCATACATCTGTATGTAACCCTGGTAACTATTATATGTAAGCAATGCTTCTTCTTAAATTAAGATAGAAAGGGACTGTCTACATTCCTCTTTTGATATATTCAAATATCAGATATGTTGCTTGAATGATTGACTGATTAGGACGTTCACTTGAGGTGATCTCCATAAATGGGAGGTTAGTCCGATCTTGATGAAGAGAGGCGTTCCCGATGTTGAGGGTCAGCAGTAATTATGGTAATAAAAAATAAAATGACTCATCAGGATATTACCAAGGATCCCAAATGACTTACGAGCTTAGAAACTAGCACTATTCCTATGGCCAGAACCTATGTCAACAAAACTTCTTCTTCTCAACATCTTTAAGGCATCCATCATGTCCATTGGTCTTCCTTTACTTTGGGCTTTCAGATGCCATCCCATGACTAAAACACAGTGTTGTCAAACCCAACTCACTCACTCACTCACTCACTTCTTGTCCGGGACACAGGTAGCTCAGTCTACTAAGGTGCTGCAATTCACTGTGCAGAGTTGCATCCCTTAGGCATGCCAGAAGCCTATGATCGGTTTGAATCCTTTGTGTTTCTAATTTGACAGCACCATCATTTTATAAACAAGTGTTGATATATTTCATATCAAAAGACACAACGGTGAGATTTTATTTATCATCCAACATCATTCTTCCAGGGGGCGGCTGGGTAGCCTAGTGGTTAAGGCGTTCGCTCGTCACGCCGAAGACCCGGGTTTGAATCCCGACATGAGTACAATGTGTAAAGCCCATTTCTGGTGTCCCCCGCCGTGATATTGTTGGAATATTGCTAAAAGCGGCCTAAAACCAAACTCACTCACTCATTCTTCCAACTTATTCAGTTTGTAGACAATATTGAGCAGTGTCTTCAGTGTAAAAAGTACTGCTAACAGCTTCAGTCGCAGAGCCATTAGTGATGTCATTTGATTGTGACGTCATGGTAACCAATGATATCACAATGGTCTGCAAAGCATTGTGATGCAATTTCATTGCAGCGATGTCTACAATGTAGATACCGCTTGATCTCACCCAAGCCAGCCATTTTTGGATGATAAATGCACCATGCAACCTATTATTGAAAAATGCGACCTAACATTTATTTCTACATGCACCTAGTGCATTTTAAAAAATTCAAATTTGTGTCTTACAAACCCTTACATCTCCACACAACTGTCTGTCTTTGGTGAATACCTCTAAGCTTTATGCACCATACTACATCATTAATCACTGGGTTATGTGTAATTTGTAATCTCTTCTTGGGCTTAATGTCATCAGATTGTGGGGCCTTTATTATAAGTGCACATCCTTTTATGTTTTGCAGCAGTATTTATGTAAAATCATGACACAGTCATCAGAGATCTGAGATGTACTTTTCAGTTTATGTTCTATGTTTCATCTTTGATAAAATTATGGGAGTGCGACTTTATTTTGTCTGGTGCAACTGGGTTTTCATATCAACATGCACCTGGTAAAAGGACTTCAATCAAGGACCCGTGAAGATTCCGGGGTAGAATAGGTCTTCAGCAACGTATGCTTGCCACAAAAGGCGACTATGCTTGTCGTAAAAGGCGACTAACGGGATCAGGTGGTGAGGCTCGCTGATTTGGTTGATGCATGTCATTGATCTCAATTGCGTGGATCGATGCTCATGATATCAATCACTGGATTGTCTGGTCCAGACTTGATTATTTTACAGACCGCCATCATATAGCTGGAATATTGCTGACTGCGGCGTTAAACAACAAACCAACCAACCAACCTTCAATGAAGCCCTTATAATGTTCCAAGTGTTGTGACAGCCAGTACACTGACTGCTTCGTTGTGTTGAGCCCTGTGTTTGTCATGTTTCAGAGTCCGCCTCCCAGTGCCTATGTTCTCCCGCCAAGAGTTCAGTATTTGGAGTATACTCAAGCAGTGCATCGGAAAGGTCAGTCTCACCGCCATTGAAAATGTTTGTCATCAAGGCTGATTTTTACTAGGACTTACCCACAAAGCTATCGTAGCACTACGATTGTCGTAAGTCTGTGTTAAAAAATGGGAGTTACAATCGTCTTAGCGCTAAGATTGCTTTGTGCAAGAAGTCCCCAGTCCTGTTCCACAAAACTATTTTGGCACTAACACGACCATAAATTGATGTCAAAGAATTTAAGACACAGCGCTTACATCACTTTGGGGAACGTGACCAGGGCTCTCTCGTTCATGCCCATGCAGCGCTATTGTAACGTCTTCACTGTAATCAACCATTATTGCAGTGTTTAAAATACCTGCCTGCCCGACAGTCAAAGACGGCCTGTTTTGCAAACAGTCAGTCAGTTTTGAAAAATTGCACGCCTGATTGTCGGAAGTTCCAGTTACTATAAAGATGACAATCTTCCAGTTTATTGTTATTTTCTGAGAACTAACATTAAGCAGTATTATTCTTATCTTTACACTTTTGTTACTTTTGTTGGTTAGTCTAGACTGAAATGTTGTGGCACAATACATGATTGTCTTCTTCAATTACCTCATGGTTGTCTTAGCAGTCACAATATACTGAAATACAGCTGACACTACTTGAATCTTTCAACACAATCATGAGAACACTTGTCATGGAGTATCGGTTGTTAGCATGTGCAATCTGGCTGATTGTGTAACTTTGCTCATGGTGTTTGCCCTGATGTAGTTGTTCTTTTCTGAACACCTTGTAAGCCACTATATATAGCAGAACTTACATCTTGTGATTACTTGAAGCCTATGGTCATAGGACTGAAAACAAAGATGCTTAAATAAAGAACAGATTTTGTTTCTGACAACCTGCATTCCGAAAAGGGAAAATTCCCTGGAAAGATGACCTGTTTTTTATGTCCTCCATCAATGATTTGAAATGAAGAAAGTCAGAGATTCTTTGAAACAAAAACCAGATGGCTTTCAATCTACAAACTTTGTAAAAGAATTGATCTTTAAATTTAAATGCAGTGTTCAATCTAGATGTGCAACTTGGCTGCCAAAATGTGTCCTTTCCAAGATTCTGATGGTCATCAAAATGATAAATAAGCATACCCTTGTAGATCTATCTACTTTGAGTGATTCGGAGTGTCCTTTCAGGTCCCCAGTAACCTGGGATTGCTGTTTTTTGGTTTCATTTTGTTTGTTGTCAGAGCTCCAGATAAGCTGCGTATCTGCGTAAAATACGCATCAGAAATGCAGAAATACACAGTAAAATCAAATCCAAGTGTATCAAATACGCAACGAACATTACAGATATGCTACGAAAATAAAACTTGTGCGTATCATCAAAATATTGTGAAGTAACCCTGCGTATTCGTTTAGCAAATCAGCAACTTATTTTGAAATTATAAAGGGGCATTCCGTCAACCTTGATCATTTGCCATCACACTTTCTTGTGGAAGTATTGTGGTATTTTTGAGTCCTATAAAGCTCTCGAACCCACACGACACCAGTTTGCAGGGACTAGATGAATAGTGTTTTTAGATATTTAACTTAAATACCCACATGTGTAAAAACTAGTGGGTAACAGAAATTTGAATACCCATATAGAATTACTGATACCCAATGATTTTAAAATGCATGGGTAAAATACCCACAACACCAAAAGCTTATCTGGAGCTCTGGTTGTTTAACTCCACACTCAGCATTATTTCAAATGTATGGCGGCAGCCAGTAAATAATCGAGTAAGGACAACACAATGTGGTGATAGACATCATGAGTATCCATTTATTTAACTGGGATATAATGACATGCAACAACCAAGTCAGCAAGCCTGACCACCCGATCCCATTCGTAGCCTTTTACAACAAGCATATGTTGCTAGAGAACACCCAGATTGCTTGTCATTTTACCTTGATGGTGTAGGAATTTGCTCATGATGTCAATCACTGGTTTGTTTAGTCTAGTGTTGATTATTGTCTAGCTGCCATGCTATAGCTGAAATATTGCCATTAATCCAAATGCAAAGAAACAAATCCTATTCCTTCAACTGCATGCAAAGAAACACACTGTTGTCTTTTTTCTGTACTCTCTGATCAATGAGTGTTAGATGAGTATTTCAGAATTTGCAGACATTGAGCCATGGTCCAATAGTAGTTTTATTGTCAAATTCTAGGAAGCAAGAAGATTGCAGTTGTACAGAATATTCTCTGTAGTGGATGTTTCATTTCAATGCATATGACCATGATGACTAACATGTTTTTGAATGGAGAGTGGATGCTGTTTTGCACCACAGTCACGTTGATCACAGTGGCCTCAAAATTGTCATCTCTGGGATCCAGTGGTTGATAGCATGAGCAACAATTTGCCCCTTTCGGGACAATGACTCACCATGAACCAAGTGGCACATTGTGTTCAGGAAGCCTAGTGGTTAAAGCGTTATGCCAAAGGCCAGTGGTCAACCCCCATGTGCGACGCCCATTTCTGGTGTCCCACGCCATGACATTACTGAAAGTATCATAATACCATACTCGCTGATAATAACTGAGTGAGTGAGTTATGTCTAACGCAGCTTTTAACTATTCCAGTTATTTCACAGCATGTCAGCTTAATGTGGGAGGAAAACACACAATCATAGGTTTCTGGCGTGCCCTTGGGACGCAACTCTGCACAGTGAATTGCGGCGCCTTTGACGACTGGGCCACCCGTGCCCCCTCATAATAACTGAAGCTTACAATGAATATGGGTAGTGGTGACCTATTCCATCCTCGATTTCCTGGATGTTTTAATATAAGGGTAACCTTGAAGCAGTGTATACAGACTTGAATGTTGTGTGTTCATCCAGGTCATGATCAGTTATCAGCGATCAGAAAGACCTGATTCCAATGTTTGTTTTTTTATCCCCATGCAATGAAATATTGATTTCAAGTCATAAGACAGGTCATTGACTTGACATGAATAGTACATTAGGAAATAAGATGATCATATTTCCATCGTACAACTTTGGAACATACATGCTGGAATGATGCCATGGATGTCTCCTGGATTGAATTAGGAGCCCAGGAAGGCGTCAACAGGTCAAGAGAGGATGGAAATTCAATAATGGGTTTATTATATTCTAGTTTGTAATCAAACATGATTTGCCTAATTCTGTGTGAGGAGATATTCTGGCAGAAGGGGTTAGCAACAAGGCCTGTTAATAGTGACAAGGTGGCTCACAGTCCGAGTTGCTGGCCAAATCTAGCAGCAAAACACACACTGTGGGGAAGCAGGAATCAATAGTCATTGATCAGTTCATAAATAGACCATTGCCGGAAATCTACTTTTAATTGCTTGATATTAGGGCACAACTGGAACTAACTGAAAGGAGGTACCATCTGAGAACAGTAATGACACAATGATGACAATGAGATTGGGGAAGAAATCCTCATGTTGCTCCACCAGAAGATGCCCCAAAACAGGTTACTAGGTCATGGTTCCATGGTATCTCGGCCAATAATTCCTTGTACTCCGGGTAGTGGTAATCAGGCTGCGTGTGTTCTAGTTCTCGGTTTCTATTGGGTGTTCAATGAGCAGCCAGACTGTTTTTATTGCTGTGTGTACATGCAGGAGCTGGAATGCAAAAAGGGCAGATTGGTTTTATCATGGGTTGACACGGATAGAAACATTACTTTTTTATCCATAAGTTATGTTAATGATGATTAGAACGGAACAAGATCATGAATTTCTACTAACGTATACCAGGTATATATGTGTAGTGACCACCACTACAATATTATGACATTGTAAAGCATATCGGGGCATTCGTGTTCACAGACATTTGAGCTAGCGCTGGGACGAGTCCAAATTTACAACCCAGGTACCTACCCCCCCTATTACCCGACCCTACCCGGGTACCCACTGTTGGTCTAAAGAGATACACAATGTCCGATTGGGAATTTTGTTACCAGAGCACTTGCAAAACGTATTTAGATACATGTATTAAACAATCTGGTCATACATACACTGAAGTTGACTGAAGTTTTATCTTTATACAAACATATAAAAGGAAGAAGGAATGGTTGCATAGTCAGAAAGAAATGCAAACATGACTTGTAGTGTAACCATAGAGTTCCAGATCATTTTTGTCATCAAACAATATATCACCGGACTTTATCACGGGTCCAGGTCCTCCTGTGGGTACCTAGGTCCTACTCAGTACGCGACCGATCCAGGTACCCAAGTTACCCGTCCCAGCCCTAATTTGAGCTGTATTTGGCAAACCTAAACAATTGATTCAAACTCTTTTGGATATGTCTCATGGGAGTTCAAAGGCCATCACTTGATAATGTACTTGCCTCTGGAAATAAATGTAGATTGGCTGGTGTTTTAGTACTTGGTAGAATAGTGATAAAGACTGATTGAGACAAGATATTATATTCAAGGTATGGAATTCTTGGGGCAACATGGTAACAATTTGCTAATTTCTTTTTTTTACGACACAGCATGGAACCTGTAACAGCATTTGCCAACTTAATAACATTGTCAGAATCTATCAGAAATGGGATATTTAGGCTTGCCTGCAGGATACATTTTAACATTGAGGAGATTTTGCACGAGGGTCAAATACTTTCACTGCGTCATTTCAGCAGACATTCAGCAATTAGATTTGGAGGGTCCTTCAATATGTCCAGTGTTCAAAAATCACATAAATACCTCGAACATGAACACCTTTGTATCAATCTTCCTTTTGAAACAGGATGAGACAGGAACTTGTCCGTGCCCTTGTGGTTATTAATGAAAGACAAGTTTAAAGATGTCCCAGTTTTTGCACGATGTTCAGTCCTCCTCCGTGTCCTTGTGGAGGAGCCGTGTAATGATGGGCCAGAGATAAATACAGGCTTGATTGATGGGACGTGGTTTACCTTGCTTCATAATTACTGCTTCCATCTCCTCCCACTGACAAGTGCTTGTCGTAAGAGGCAACTGAAATGGCCACTGTTAGTCTTAATGGCTGCACA